TTAAATATGTTAGTGTAATTAAGAAGAAAATAATTAGAGTAATTTATGTTGGTTACTATATATGAATCTGTTTACATGTATATATATCATGTCTTTCATTTCAATAAAAATACACAAATTATTTACTATTTTTCTTCCCAAACCTTTTACAAAAATCATTATCACAAAATTCCATGAACTTAAAATCATTAAATGATATATAAAATAATCCAAAATCAACAATATCTTTAAGGTAATGTAGGATTCTTTTAACAACATTTATGTAAGAGGTGGTAGGAATTTCCACAAACAAGCTATTAATCCGGGTCTTGAAAAGTCAAGTATTGCAAACTTCCTACAAGACTTTTAAAGAGAGTGGGATCAATCGTATTCGTAGGATTGCAATTAGGCATTTTGGATTTCTCTAAAACTTTTTTTGCATAGCTTTCTTGAGAAATAAAAATGTCATCGTCTATTTGTCTCATCTCAAGGCCGAAATAGTAAAACATGAGCCTAATATCAGTCATTTCAAATTCAAGTAACATAGTTTTCTTGAATTTATTAAAGAAACTTGAATTATTGCGAGAAAAGATGAGATCGTCCATATACAGACACAAATTACCATTAGTATGATACTTCACATCAAGAATATATTCATTAGGACAATGAACAAACTCATTATCTTTAAAATACTTATTTATATGGTTATTCTATGCACTTGGTGCTTACTTTAACCCATACAAAGCTTTATTCAATATAATCTTCATACCCTTCAACAACAAAACCTAATGGTTGTTTTGTATAAACCTCTTCCTTAAGATGGCCATTGAGAAATACCAACTTCACATCAAGTTGAAAAATTCCTTGAAATAACTAATAGCAAACAAATAGTGTTCATGTGAGCAACTGGTGCAAAAACCTCACATAATTAACTCCATGTTTTTCTTTTAGGAAGTGTTGATAGCTCCCATGTGTTGTTTTTTTTTTTTATGGAATGATCTTTTCCTCCATGGCTTGTCTCCATCTTGCATCTTTCATGACTTTATCAAAATTCATAGGTTTACTGTTACGAAAAAGACAAAACAAATCATTTATGTCAAAGTTAGTGATGTCTTCAGTTTCATCATAGAGATCTTAAATGTTCTTTATCTTTTGTGGCAATTGGAGCTTTCTTGAGAAGTGGGTGGTGCAACATGAGTTGGAGAAGGAGGTGGAGTTACCTCTTGCAAAGGCACCATGATCTCTTGGCCTTCCTCTTTAAAATATAGAAAGAAATCATAAACATTTTCTT